AGCGCTGACCTGGGCTCCGAGGGGGGGCAGAGAGGGGAGGCCGGGGCTAGGGACGAGAAGGGCCTGGGGGTCTGGCTGGATGGCAAGGCCCTGTAGGGCCCCATGAGCCACAGCAAGGAGCCCAGACCTCATCACTCGGGCGATAGGTGCCTCTGAGTCACGAAGAGCCCTGCGGGTTCCAGGCTGCCACCCCCGTGTGGGGGGCCCCAACTTCACGCTTCCTTTTCAGGAATACATCCAGAAGCTGATGCCTCCGCTGATCCAGAAGTGGAACGAGCTCAAGGACGAAGACAAGGACCTCTTCCCTCTGCTAGAGGTGGGTGGGCTCCAGGCCCTCTCCCAAAGCCCTGCCCCATCCTTCCTGAGTTCACCTCTCCTGCCTTCCGCCCGACCAGTGCCTGTCATCGGTGGCCACCGCCCTGCAGAGCGGCTTCCTGCCCTACTGTGAGCCAGTCTACCAGCGCTGCGTCACCCTGGTGCAGAAGACCCTGGCCCAGGCCATGGTGAGCATCGCACCACCCCTGCCCCGCCGCCCGCTCCTCTGCGGCTGCCCCAGCCCGGGCCCGCTCCCCTTACCCGCCTGCCCCATCTGTGCCCAGATGTACACCCAGCACCCTGAGCAGTATGAGGCCCCCGACAAGGACTTCATGATTGTGGCACTGGACCTGCTCAGCGGCCTGGCCGAGGGCCTGGGCGGCCACGTGGAACAGCTGGTGGCCCGCAGCAACATCATGACGCTGCTCTTCCAGTGCATGCAGGTGGGCGGGCCCCTCGCAAGCCTGACTTGCGGCCCGGGGTGTGCCCCGCGGACAACAGGAGAAAGGGACCCATAGGAAAAAAAAAAGCTTGTACTTATTTTAAAAAGTGATTCAAAGAAGACATGAGTAAAATCTCGTTGAAAAACAAGGAGCTCCCGGCTGGCTCAGTCCGGGGAGCATGTGACTCTTGATCCCGGGGTCGTGAGTTCGAGCCCCATGTTGGGCACAGAGATTACTAACGAAAACAAAGGTAGAAAGAGGAAATAGGAAAGCATAAGCCCCTCCAACTTGACGTATGTGCGCACCCCCAGTGTCTCCGGACGGGCAGCAGTTAACCCCTGCCCCTTCCTATAGCGGTACCGTGAGCGAAGCCCTGCAGTTCACGGGCCCCGAGTGCCCGTGATGGGGCCTTTAGCTTCCATGATGGGAAGTGGCAGGGTCAGGCCGTTCTCCAGGGGCTGCTCCCCTAGCTGGCCTGCCGGGAGGGATTAGTTTGGGACCCCTGCTGGTTGGCGGGAGGGGCATCTTGCCACGCCAGCCCTGCTCTGACCCCCCAGGACTCCATGCCTGAGGTCCGGCAGAGTTCCTTCGCCCTCCTGGGAGATCTCACCAAAGCCTGCTTCATCCACGTCAAGCCCTGTATCGGTATGACGCCCATCTTGTCACCCCCATGACCCCAGCCCTGGCCTCGAGTGATGGAGAAACGACCCTGGGAGGACAATGACCAAATCGGGATGTATTCGTACTGTCTGATGGGGTCTGCCCGGCCAGGCCCGGGAGCTCACCCTGGCTGGCCCCCCTGCCCAGCACTCTTCTTTCTCCCCACCAGCCGAGTTCATGCCCATCCTGGGCACCAACCTGAACCCTGAGTTCATCTCTGTCTGCAACAATGCCACCTGGGCCATCGGCGAGATCTGCATGCAGATGGGTGAGTGTGCTGCAAGTTGACGGGCCCCGCGCTGTCACCCACATCGGTCTGTTCTCTGCTGAGGGCAGGCCCCTGGCCGTGCCTGCCAGGCCCCTGGGGAGAGAGCCCCGGTGCTCCTTGAGGATTGCCGCAGTTGGTCTGGCAAGACCTCTCTGAGTGGTTTCTGCCGGGAGACTCCCAAATGGCTGAAAGGCCGTCTGTGATTGGTCTTCCTAAAGAGGCAGGACAGGCGGCCTGTTCTGACTGGACTTTTGGCGACCTCCCGCCCCCACGCAGTCGGCCCACTGGGATTGGTTGGGAGACTTTGGCGGCTTTCTCCCTCCCCACCTACCCCCACAGGGAATCTGGGCAATGCGGTCTCGCCTCGGTGTTGGAGCTGTGACTCCAAGGGAGCTTCTGGCGTTTGGAAGGCTTGGGTCTGCCCCTGGTTGGCCACGGGTCCTGAGCGGGGGACCAGCTGGAGAATGTTCTCCGTTCCCTCAGTGGTTGCAGGGGGTCAGTGCGTAGATGCAGCTGAGGTCAGCATGGGTGGTCTGGGCTGTGCGGGGCTCTGACTGACCGGTCCCCCAGGGGCAGAGATGCAGCCCTACGTGCAGATGGTCCTCAACAACCTGGTGGAGATCATCAACCGGCCCAACACCCCCAAGACGCTGCTGGAAAACACAGGTGGGCACCAGGCCTGAGCCGTTGCCGTCCTCTTACCTGGATGGGGTTCCCAGCCGGGAGGGTAGTGCCGAAGAGACCTTGGGAAAGAAGCAGGGAAGGTTTCTGGGAAGACGTGGAAGGGGGTTCTGAGGAGAGCCCCGAGAAAGATGTGGGCCTCGGGGGAGACCCCGGTTGGGCCTGTTCCCTTGGGGCCCATGGGGCGGGGCTGGTGCCTCGTGCCAGAGGCCCCGCCACGTACCGTCCCGGGGCCGCTCGGGGTTGCAGGTCGCCTGACGAGTCCCTCTGCCATTCCAGCCATCACCATCGGCCGCCTGGGCTACGTGTGCCCACAGGAGGTGGCACCCATGCTGCAGCAGTTCATCCGGCCTTGGTGTGTGCCCCCCTGCGTGGGGCCTGCGTACGGTGGGCCGGGCGGC